GAGGATGGTTTATAAAGGGGAAGAAAGGAGAAAAGAAAGGTACAAAAGGCCATGTCCACCATTACCCTCCTGCTAAGAGGGGCTGGACAGAAAGCCTTAATCTTTAAGAAGTGCAGGTCCTGAAGAAGGGAGGCTGTGTTTGAGCCTGAAGGAGGTGGAGATCAGGAAAGGGGTGCCACCTCTCTCTTTGTAGAATGGAACCTCCCACCTCAAGGGTAGCAGCTTCACAGACCGTAGACACTTTCATCACTGTAGGCAATGTATAGAAAGAAGTCTTCTTCATGGTGTTCCTGGTATAGCTGACCCATTGTGGCACTGGTGGGTGGAATAACATTGTTGACAAAGAAAAACAAGGCGTCCTCAGCTCGAAGATGAATTCGCTTCTGGATCAAGAAGTAGAACTGACCAACTGTGAGATCAGAAGACACCAGATATTTCTTTTTGTCCAGGTCCCCTATCCGAGCTTTGGGAGCCTTTTCTACTATCACCGGAACCCGGTCTGAGTATTTTTTTCGGATCTTCTCGCCCTCAGAGTGGCGCTTCTCGAATGGATGCTCCTCTTTGTACACGAACTTCATCCTCCCGGGAACCGGGCTGGACCGAGTTAGGCTGAGGGAACCCGGGGAGGTGGGGTCGGGACAGGGGGCAGCGGCGAAGGCCTCACATCCTGTTTTGACTAAGCAAGTTTACCAAGATATGTTCAATTACAAAATTGTCACAAGTTAAAAAAAAAAAAACTGCCTTTGTTTTACTTCTATAAATTTGTCCACCCATAAATTTTGATCTATTCAAGGGAGCAACCCCTCAGCAACATGTATAAGATGGGAGCCCTTCCTTCGTTCAGCGCTCAGCCCTTCTGAACACAAGTCCACTGAGTTGATGTTCACCCCTAAAACCAGATAAATCTTCCTGTTTCTCCTTCAAAAGAAAAAAGGAATTTATTTATTAATTTTTAGACTTTGCATCTCAAAAACAATTTTTTTTTTTTTTTTGTATTTTAGGACAGGGTGTACATGGTGTACAGGGTCTCACTGTACAGATTGGACTTGTAGTGATCCTCCTGTTTACAGCCTCCCAGGTGCTGGGATTACAGGTGTGTGCCACCACTCAGTCTCAATTGCCTTCTCAGTGAGCCCTGGGGGCGAGGCCAGCATGGCAGGCCCAAGGATTGAACCTCCAGTCCCTGCGTCTAAGCAGATGCTTTAATCCACTGAGCTATTTGGCTGGTCCTTCAAAAACAATTGATGTTAAAATTTTTGATGCTTTTTTTTTATACTCAAGGAATATTAAAAAATTCAATACTTTATTTTTGATGTTTTTTTCCTGTTAAGTACTCATTGTTTAAAATAATAAAACTCATAAAATTATTAATTCATTAATAGAAATATTCTAAACAATAAATGTGGGTATTATACA